CGCTTCCGTGAGCCGGCGCTGGAGAGGTTCAGTCCCATGGAGGAAGGGCTGTGCTCACACACAGGACTCAGGGACCAGGGCACGAGGTCTGGCTTGGTGGTGAGCTGCAAGGGCTGCTCTGCCGGAGGAAGGGGCAGCTCCTTGGCCATGGGAGTCTTTTGGGGCTTTTCCTCCGGCTCCGTTGGAGGCTGCCGGACATCGCCCTCTGCTTTGTTCAGGGTATTGCTGCCCACCACCCTCTCCTCCCCTGGTTTCCTCCAAGCCTCCAGCTTCTCCTCCCCACCCTTCTTAGGAGTCCTCTCCTCCGCACGCTTCCGGGGAGGCTCCCCAGACTTGATCTTCACGGCCTGCATGCCGTTCTCCATGTACTTGCTCATGACGATCACAATGCGCCCGTTCTTGTTTTTGTTCTTGACGATCTTCATCTTTCCCCCAAGGCCGTTGCTGGTCACCCTGTCCCGGGGGGGTGGCCCAGTACCACTGGACAGGTTCTTCTCAGCCCCATTCTTACTCTCTGTTGTGAGGTTCTTGACCGTGCCCAGCAGGTTTTTGGCCGGGCCATGAGCCCACTTGTCCGGGTGGGTGACCAGGGGGGTCTTGTTACTGTCCAAGCAGGCCTGGCCCTGTGGCTCCTTGCTGCTGGGCTGGTAATGGGGCTCGTACATCTTGGGGTCTGGCTGGTAGTGGTGGTGCTTTTTGCTGTTCAGCTGATAGTAATACTTCCCTTTGCTGTGGGACTGGTGCTTCATGCTGCTCTCCTTGCCGTTGGGCTGGTACTGGTGGTGCTTCTTGCTGTTGAGTTCATACTGGTGCTGCTGGCTCTTGCCAGAGGAGCTGAGATCCAGCTTGGGCCTGGTGTCCACGGCTGGGTCCTGCAGCCCCGTGAGGATGTTCGAGCGGCGAGCGAAGGAGGGAAGCTGCAACACAACACCAAGAGGAGCTGTCAGCTGGGGCTGAAACACCAGGTGCCAATCCTCCAGCAGATGCTGATGGCTCTGGTGGAACCCCCAACCCCTCTGCCAGCTCTGGTTCCACGACGCTGCATCCCGGGGCACCGCGTCCTCCAGCAGGCAGCCCCAGCCCACTCCAGCTCAGAGGCTGTGCATTGCTCCAGATTAATGAAGCAATGAAAAGAAGAAAAGCCCCCTTCAATCAGCTGTCTGGGAACAGGGGCCGAG